GGGCATCAGGGCAAACGAAATTTCAGTATAGTCGAATGAGGCATCATGCGGAATGAGTTTCAGTTGGCTAACGGGGAGAATCCCATCATCCTTGCGATATGTCATTTCTTTACACTCGATTGCTTGAGTCTGTCTAAACTTTATCATACGATCAAACTTTTTCATTAGAATATTTACATTTCAACATCTATCCGACACTTGTTTTTCGCATCGCGTCGGAAGGACACTCGTCTTTTGCGTCTCTACGAGGGCTCGCAAAAGTTTACCATACGTCCATCCAAGTTAAACAAAACGCACACGCGTCGTGCGCAACCGTCATGAGCTGCAATTCTGAAAAAAGAATCTCTCGAGAGCTTCGCTGCAAAACCGTTGTCTCGTGCCACGGGCAGGGGGGAGCGCATGATTGGCGTTGTTCGATGGCTCGGCAAACACGCGCGTTGAAAAAATATGAAACTCCGGCGAGGGCGTGGGCTCCGGAGAGGCAGCGCGAATTCGGCGAAAAACTGCTGCCGCCGTCGCCGCTACCGCTCGATCGGGTACCACTGGTCGTGCGGGAGCAGCGTAGCAGCCACGTACAAATACGCGCGGATGCGCTCCCTTCGTACTAATGAGTCGTGCTGCTGCTGCTGCTGCTGCTGCTGCTTCACTCCTCCGCTCCGCAGCACAGCCTTCATAATTAATAACGTCTGGTTGGCCGCGCGCGCAATCGAGTGCTCTTTGTGCGCGCGGGGAAAACAGAAACCTCTATCACGCCACAGACAGAACGAGAGAGAGAGAGACTGCTTATTAGCGTCGGCTTTACTTATTTCAATCCTGCCGGCGAGCTTCGGCTGCAGTCTACCCGCGTCATTATCATCAACTTGTAATGTTGAACGCTTTCGATTGTAATCACGTCGGCAATATATCGCTCGTACGAAGAAGCGTCGCCGAAGGTACGTCGATTTCGTTGCGACTCGATCCGCGCGCTCGAGTTTGCGTTCTCGTGGCCAGAAAAAAAAAAAAAGGCAGAGGCCGCGGAGTAGGCGCGGACGAGCGAGCGCCAGCAGCGAAATTGACGTCGCGGCGTATCGGTAGACGCACCTTGCCGCGACTGGGCCGCGCGGCGAATTTTTCAAGCTCTCTGCACGCGCCCCGTCGTAAAGCAGCCTCGCGAACGCGTCGAGAGGCTTTCAGCGCTGCGGAGGCCGCGAGAGTTACGAGCTCGCACGGCGGCGTTCGCAAACGTCATGTTAGTTCGCGCCCGGCGTAGCCGCGGCCGTTAATCACCCCCCCCCCCCCCTTTCCCCCCCGCACGCACACACACACACACGCCCGCTTCCTCTTTAATTTGACGAGCCCTCGCTGCATACTGCGATAATCTCGAGGGGGCAGCTATTCGTCATCTCGCATTGTTCCTCCCTGATAGCTCTATGAGAAGCGGTCTGCGGCCTGCAATTTTGCTGGTCTGTCGCCACGCTGTAATTAAAATGCCAGGCGTCTCGCGCGGGAATTGAAGCGCGCGCGCGCGAGCAGGTGAGAAGCGATCATCAGTGTCGGTTCTGCCGGATGGGAAGATTAAGGGATTTTATTAATTAATTGATGCTTAATGCGAGACGTGTCGAGGCAGGTCTGTTTATACCCGACACCTCTTGCGCGTTTCGCCGTGCTATTTCCAACACCTTCTGTTCTTGCTTTAAAGGCCTGTCATCCTCGATCCTTTGATTATGTTTCGCGAAGCTTGTACGCCCGTTTGCTTTACCGTCCACTGGTGAAAGTTGTAGTTGGCGATTCTGTTTTCGTCGAGTTTCGCGTGTATGTTTCGCCATGGTTCTTCATCGATTACGCTCAATTTTCGCCACGACTTTGCTATGAATAATTTTCTCTCGACCTTTTTCGACTCAACTTCAGCATTGCCAACTTTCGTCTTTAGTTAGGATGGAATTCCGTTGCGTCGAAATTTATTTTGATGAATCTTTTGAAAATCCCCCAGTGAATCGAACGACGCACTATTTCGTTAATTTCATTTTGATCCATCCGAAAATCGTTTGGACAAATGTTGTCGATCGATCTGAGAAGCATCGAAGAGAAAACGCCCGAGAACCGAGAGCAAAAGAGGAGCGAACGGGGCTGAACCCGGCGATTACGTTTGGCGTGCAGCCTGAAAAACCGCATTACACGAGGGTACAAGTCGAGCGGCGGGAGGGGAAAAAAGGCAGCGCGCGTCGCAGATCAGTAGCGGAAATCGAAGCAGCGTCCGCCAAGCGAGCTAGTTAATTATTGCGCATAGTTAATGATCCGATCGGTAATTAGTCGCCGGATAAATCCCTTAGGCTAACTAATGACCTTTTATATTCCGCGCGCGCGTGTGTTCGTGTGCGCGCGCGCGACCACATAGACGGAAAACCGAGCTAATTATCATCTGGCCAAGCGATAAATTCGTTGCGTCCTTGTGGAAAATCCGCCTTAGATTAGCATTGGAAAGCCAAAGGGGATTTGAAAAGGGCATTGTCTGTTCTTGATCGATTCTAATTTGCACGCGGCAAGGAACGCTCGATCGGCTTATATTATTTACGCTTATCAAGCCGCGGCGAACTGATGAGGATGAATCATGCCTCTCGCGAATGCGCGTCGCGTGTCCACGAATTATTCAATGGCGCGGCAAATCGATCGTGACTGACAATTTATTCGTGTCGCGAGACATCCAATAAGCGTAATCCGTTGTTCGACTAAATTACCTTTTTGTAGAATTGAACGAGAGTGACCGTAGGCTAATTTCCCGCGCGGACTAGCGCGTCATTCCCAAGTTGGGACAACAACGACCGCATCACGCGATTTTAGCCAAGTTCCGTGAAAGAAAATTACAACGATGATTATCATTGCTGGGGTATCCCGCAAAAGTTGCACACGTTACTCGAATGCCGCGCGCGTCTTGGGCCTTGAAGCGTGTGTTTTGGAAGGGGAGTGGGGTGGGGATAATTTTCGACCCTAATAGAGATGTTTCGAGGATGTATGGTCGGGAATTACGTAGCAGCGACGCGTGTATGCAAAAGGCATCCGTGGCATTCCTCCGAGGCGTTGAACAAGACAGGAAAATAGTGCTAAGACCAGCTATTGGTAGAATTACGTACTCGAGTTTACTTGATACTTGATTATCGCCACCTGCACACTTACAAACGTGAAAGATTCTTCGAAACGATCTCATCCAGATCGAAAAAGCTCTGTGCGCGATTTCATTTCGAGAATTGAGGTATTATGCCACGAGGATTTAATCACGGCAATTTTCCCTAATTTCGCAAAATTGTAAAGCACGATACGTACAAGGTTGCAGTTTCCTGTCGAAAACTAATTCAGGACGCTTCCCCCTTGACAAGATGATCACTCTGCTTTTTGCATATTCCTCACCTTCGCGAAACAGGGAGAGAGCAATTCGGCACGTCAAGCCCGCAATGCAATAAAACCGCGGAGGAGGACTGCATGCGGGTGCGCTCAAATTTATTGAGCAATCGGCATTTCCGAAGAGAGAGGGAGAGAGAGAGAAAGAGACCGAACGACAACGAAATTGCAGCGAGGGCAGGGAGGAGAAAAAGAAAAAAAAGGGGGGGGGGGAGCGAGGGATGAAAGGTGCCGGCGCGAGCGCGCATCGCCCCCCTCATAAAGATACTCGATCGTCTCTTTACTCTGGCGCGGAGAGCTACTGGATATGCGCGCATCGAGTACATAGCTGCGTCTCGCACGGAGCCAAGCTCATGGCCAGTTTCAGAGAAGCGCGTCGTCGCGCCTTATTCGCGTGCGCGCGCGGAAAAACAAGAGGGAGTTAGGAATGGAATGGCAAACAAGACGGATGGATGGAATATGATAATGCCGGATGAAAATCAGACAAATGTGGAGAGACAGAGACTGCGCGCAAGACGACGTGGGAAAGAACGCGTCGACGACGGTCCGATATGCTCTCCCCCTCCCCCTCCCCCTCTCTTTCTGCTATAAACCCATCACTTCAACCCGATTCATCGGCCGATCGCCACCGCGGTCGGCTCATGCGCTGGCATCGCATCTATACGTTCTACTACAAAACACTTGGCTCAATTATCATATTGCTTTGTCGTTACTTATATTTTCAGCGCTTGTCGATCGATGCTCGGTCGAGTCGCCAAAGCGCTTTAACGTAATACTCCGCCAAAAGTAGATGTGAGATGCGCCTCCCAAAAGAAAGCTTGGAAGAAAAATCGAATAGACTGCAGCATCGACAGATGCGGAAAAAAAACTTGCAGCGCGTCGTCGCCGAGTTATCGGGCAAGTGAAAAATAGCCGCGGCGACGTGGAGGCGAAGAGAAAAAAAGACCGTTGCATTATTTGAGGAGAGAAGTGGTAGAGGCCGCGCGCTCGTGAAGGGTAAAGAGGGAAAAAAGAGGTGAGAGAAACGCGATAAGAAAGAAATATTTAGGGGAAGAAGCGAGGCTCGCATAGGCAGCAGCAGCAGCATTGCGCAGAAAAGAGACGCTGGCAATGCCGATTAGAGACGATGGATATATGAGATAATGAAAATCCCCGTTGAGCAGTGCACGCTTCCGCGTATCTAGATTCCACGGCTCCTCTCTTTCTCCAAGCAGAGCTGGCTGCTGCTTCGGGACGTACATGGCGCGAACGTCTTTTCAGCGGCTTTCTCACTCAATTGCCGTTGGAATCCATTTGCCGCCTCTCTCTCTCTCTCTCTCTCTCACTCTCTTTCTTTCTCTCTTTCCTTCTTTCTTTCCTCCCACCTTTTCAGCCTTTCGCGCCCTGTCTGCGAACCACCTGCGAAAACCCGCAAATATCGCAAATTACTGCGCGCGGCAGAGCTGCCTGGTTGCCAGAGTGAAAAAGAAAGCTAATGGAATCGCGAGCGCGTATCGGCGCAGCTTCTTCTATCGGGCGCACCGATACGCGCATCCACGGCATGACCACTTCCGCGAGGCTTTTTCTGGGCGCAATATTGATTATGTAAATACTGGCGAACACTGAGCAGCTGAACGATCATTTTGCAGATTCACAAATGGAGCAGGGATACCGATCGGAGGTACAGGAGCGCGCGCTGGTGGTGTCGCTGCAGATGTTCAATTTGATCCTGGAACGAGGCGTCAGCCTGTTGAAGGCGCAGCTGGACAACGCCGAGCGCCCCTGGCTCATCGTCGTCGAGGATATGCAAATACTTTTGCCCGCCATCAAGGTAATTTCCAATTTTACGATTGTACGCGCTGCCTGCGCCTGCGTACATCGATAACGTCGTCAATTTTATTAGCCTATTAAATTTCGATTGCGGCGCGCATTACAAACGACGTTTATTGCTCCCGACGAGTTTTAATGCCCAGGCGCGCTTCGCACATACCATTGCTCAATAAAATCGATTGCATTAACATTACTATTACATTTTATTCCTGTCCGCTTCCTCCTCCTTCTTTTGCGAGCTTCGTTCTGATCTAATCCTTTCCGACGCGCAAAAACTGCGAATCATTGGGGGGAAAAGGGCAAAATAAACGGCACGAGCGGCTCTCGCGACGCTGCTGCTCGCAGATAAATTCATTCGCAGTCCGCGGCGGCTACAAATCAAGAAAAGCCCAGAGATAAATTCATAATCAAAAAATTCACTCGCACACACACACACACAGAGAGAGGCGTGCGTATATCTCGGCCGTGGCGCTATAAAATATTATGAAAGCACAGTTGCTAACTCGCGCGCGAGCGGGCGAAGAAGCGAGCGAAAGAAAAAAACAATCCGAAATGCATAAATCCCCGAGTGCGACTTGGCAGCGCGCGGTACATAAAGAAGCCAACTTGCTCTCTCGCGCGCGATAAAGTAAGAGTTCAACGAAAGCTCCGCGCGCGGCAATTAAGAGATCAGCAGCAGCGGACTTTGCAGTTTGAGGTCGATCGCAATCTACTTCTCGCCGTATATATACGTATGCCGTGGAAGATATACACCATTAATCTATACGCGCATATCTACGCGCCGGGGAGACGACCGAGATAGGAATCCTCAGCTAGTCTCTATTAATTACTCGCCGTGGCAATTATAACTTTTCTTATCGAAATATTGTGTTGCAGATTTGGTGCGACTGGATGCTCTGTCACAGTACCGTCTGGAATCCGCCGCCTTCCTGCGCTGATTATCGCGTTGGGTAAGTCTGCGTTATTATCCAGCTCATTTTCTATTTTACGATTCGCTAATCCTTTTACAACTGTGTGAATTGGCAATGCATACGGTTACGTTGTAAACGATTGTTTTTCTTTCTTTTTTTTCGTTATCGCTTGTGCGCGATAAGACGATGACGAATTTACCGTAACATTATTACCAAAGTACAATGCTGCTCGGTACAGAAGATATACGGCATTATTAAAGCAATTCTTTTGAGGAGAGGTCGTAAAGTCTTATCGCGAATGTATTATACGCAGCTCAATCGGAGAAGCGCGCCAGAAGTAATAAAATTTTTGAATAAATTCATAGACACGTCGGCTATTTGAAAATCCGTAATTAGTGCTGTGAGCGTGCGCGCGCCTTTATTTCTTTTTTTTTCTTTTTATCTCGCGAGCATCACCCTCTCGAACCGCGCACCCAAGACGGAATTAACGTGGCGCGCCTTATTATCCGTCACGCAGAGGCGTAATTCAGTTAGCTAAGTAGCATTTGGACTGCGGCGCTCGGCGTTCAATAATATAATCAATTTACCGCGCGCCAGTCGGACGAGCAAAAAAGGGGGCTCTCGGCTAGTCGTAGACCGCTTTTAATTAGAAACTTTCCTCGTTATCCGCGTCCGCGCTTTCGGCCGCGATCCACGACTCCGACGAGCGCGGCGCAGTTGCGTGTGACGAAGCCACGCCAAGGCGTGAACGATCGCACTCCATCCGACTTGTCTCGTCCTGCACGCGGTCCTACTCTTTCCTGCTCTTCGCTCGTTAGCCCCATGGACAATTGGCATTTTTAGGTGTCCGCGAGACGTGACCGCTGGAAAAAGTAGCTTGCCGTGGCGATTTTCAGCGTTTCGCGCCTGTTTTGCCTTAGGGAAACGGAGCCCCGACGTGCACGCGCGAGAACTCGCCGAGTTACGCACTCGCAAAACAATCTATAACCGCGCCGGCGACTCTGCGACGGCTCGCGCGCTCGCTCGTCCGGCGATAAAGTAAAGGAACGCGCTGCCGTCGAAAACTCTTGTTGTGCGCAGCGAGGAGCATGGATTTAATGCGCTTTTACTCTGCCATTAGCTTGGCACGTTCCTTCGCGCTCACCACTTACTCGCGCTCGCTTTCCCTCGGCGCTTTTTTAATTGCGCCCCGCGTGCTCGCTTCTGCGTGAAAGACGTGGCTGCGAAACGCCGCGGTGAGCTGATTTTCAGGTCGACGCGGACTGTAATACAGAAAGCTTTACGCAGCGGCAACCTTCGTTATCGAGGACGCATCGTCCATCGATCAAGACTTGCCTTCGAGAAGCGTAATTGACGCACGTCTCTAAATAAATTCGCTCTTATCCGTAACCGCAGACGACCTTGCCGCAAAAAAAAAAAAAAAAAAAAACAAAAACAAAATAGAAAAGCTCATCTCTCGGGACGAATGCAACGTAGCGGCTGTGCTGCTCGGCGGAATTGCATATCTAATCTGGCGAATGAAAGCAGCTGCTCCGTCGCGCGCGGACATCCTTTCACTGTACGCTCGCGGATGACGATCTTTATATCAAGTAAACGACAATGTGCGCGTGGAGAGAAGCCGAGAGCCGATAGCTTCTTGGCGATTAGCTCTGGAAAGTATACTTTCTTAACGAGGGAAAAGCGAATTTATCGAAGCTCATCCTCGGCTGTCGTTAATATGCAAATGTCTGAATTTCGCGCCGCCGAGTACAGTAACATTCAAATTGAGCTGCTGCTGCAAAGTTAACGGTTGTCGCGCGCTAGCGCGAACTTAACATTTTTATTGCCGCAAGCGTTGTTGTTAGCACGACGCCATTTTCTGTTACACGACGGTTAATTAGTTTTCCAAAGGCTTCTTTTTTCCTCTTTGTGTTGTTTTTTTTTGCTTGCTTGCTTGCTTGCTTGCTTGTCGCGCGGTTAACAGTTTTCGTTTTAACATAGCTCCAGCGTCATTTCAGTTTCCAATGGATAGCGGAGCTATCTAGCGATGGATATTTAAGCGACCGGCCAAACGAAAACATTTCAACAGTTTGCGTTGTATTTTCGCCAATGCCTTTGGACAATATTCGTGTTCGCCATTGTAGAATTGAATGAACGTGTGCAGTTACTGGCGAACGTTTCACTGGAATTTACGTACACACGTTGATTAATTTATTTGAAAAGAAAAAAAATGCCAATTATAAATTTTGAATGGCGTGAGCGTTACGTGATTCGAAAAAGAATACTTGAAGCGGTAGGATCAAGTTGCACCTTTTTTTCCCGGCCAATTCGTTCGCTGACGGATATATTTGACAAGTTTGCCGAAGGGAGAATGTAAAAATGCATTCGGCGAGGTCAAAGAGTTGCGGGCATAATTCACGAAAAAATGCCGTCTCGGGCCGTGGTACTCTCGGTAAATTAGCATGGCATCGCTGAAAAGAGTGCATTCAGCTCGGAGGCAAAAAAAAAAAAAAACAGAAAGCGCAGAGATCCCGCGCGCGACGGTCAGTGAAAGCGAACTCGGGCGAGCGCGCGCTCGCACGTGAGCCACGAGATTTAAAAGCCGCGGCAGAAGCGACGCGTCAAGATTTAAGGAGCTCCACCCATCTGAATCAAGCGGAGAGGCGACGCCGCGTCAGCCGAAAGACCTGTTTCGTCCGACGCTTTGTCGAGCTTCCATTCCCCAGCCGGCGATTATTAACCTCTGGTCGGTGAGCGATTTAACAGAGACTCTCGCGTTTCATTGAGGGAGGTCCACGCGCGTCGGCCAATCGATACTCGCGGACGTAACGCGGTATTCGCCTTCCTGCGATAAGATCTCCGCGGCTGCGCTGTGCAGTCGATCGGGAGCAGTTTTTCACGCGACGCGGAAAGAGAGAGAGAGAGAGAGGGGGAGAGAGCTTCTGATTACATAACTGTTACTCGCGCGCGCACGCATACACGCACGAGCTAATGCAGGATGTATACGGTTACGCCGGCTCTCTCCTCTCTCTCTCTCTCTCTCTCGCGCGCGCGCTCTTCTCCTCGTTCATTTCTTCGATTTCTTTTCCAGACAACGCGCTTGCTGACTTTATCCACTCTGTCGTTTTTTGTCACTCGGCCTTTATCCGTGCCAGTACATAATGCCGCGCGCGGGAATGCCGCTGGATGGCATTGTCGATTTCGATTCGATCGTCATCCTCGGCCTCGTTTGTGGGCTCTGCTCGCGCACCACGTCGCAACGACTCCCGCGCGCCGTTTACCTTCCGCCTGTGCGCTCTGCCATTCGAATTTCAAGCTCGCGTGCGTGCGTTTACGGCCTCGACAAACATGACGTCTTAACAACGAACTTACAAATTGTAGACATCATATTGACGGCGTTGAACGAGCTTTACAGCCGCAATTGTAAAGTAAACCGTAGTTGGTGTGAAATATCAGTTGACTTGATTAAATCGTTGCAAAAGAAGAAAAAAAAGAACTCGGCGAGCAATATATCCGCCAGGCTGCTCTCAACGCGACGTTTAACGGCCGGGGGATGGCTCATCCTGCGCAGCGAGAAACTCACGATCGACTTTTATGACACGTGCGTCCGATGGCGTAATTGACGCGAATCACATCGGCGGTGGAAAAAAAAAGAACGGGATCTCAGAAGTACTTACAAGATGGCCGCGATTAATAAAGCTGCGCGCGCTCGCGAATAGGTAAATTAGCCGGATGGTGCGCGCACTCACGACGCTTAACGATTTTATAATTATGAGCGCAGCGCGCGAAGCTTTCTTAGGCAAGGACGCTTCATCTGGGCAATCCCGTGCAGCCTGCGCTGCAATTCGCTCGTTTGCTGGCTCGACTTTCCTTCCGTTTGTCGTATTTCGCTTCTTCCATTTGCTCGCCGTTGCCGAGCTTGATTAATCGCCATGAGCATTCTTATCAATCGCGAGGTATAGTCGTGGAGCGACGGACGCGGCAAATGTTGTTACGAAGTTTTTGAATGACATTTAATGAAGTCATTTTCGGCACCGCTCGGAAGATGGATGAAATTCTCTACAGCCAAAGTTTTAATTGGCAAAGTTTTGGCAAAGCTACTTTAATTAGCCGTGGCTTATTAAACATCCTTTTATTCCAACTTTTTTTCTTCAATCAATATGAATTGTTCCGAGGCGCTTCGACAATTATAATTGAAAGTTGCCGCAGAAGTACGTATTCATCCATCACAGCGGAACCTAAAACTCGCGCGAATAGTTGTACGCTGGAGCGACATAATGAAGTGCATCGAGAGTAGTATATCGTACCGTAAGAGAATCAATGAGCAGTCGGACAGGTTGCGGAGCGAGAATAGAGGGGGGGGAGAGATCGAATCTCAGTTGTATGCAAAAGACGAGTCGGCGAAGTTATGCATGCCGAGAGATAGCTTAACGACTTCCGTCATGGATACGTCCGCCCGTGTGTAGTTGTCGCTACTAAGGCTAAGGGTGCACGTCGTAAAAGGTCAACAGTTAATTGCATCGTCGACTCGTTACCGACCAGTTTAGTTGAACCAATGAAAAGCTATCTCTCCGTGCACACACACTGAGAGTGAGAGACTCGATCTAACTGACGATGAGATAAGACGTGTGAAAATACACAGACACACACACACACACAATCGAGATTGCGAAGTACTACAGCAATCAGTTTATTATTCCTTGGGTTAACTATCACCGACAAACATCTTTTTTTTCCTCCTTGCAAAGAAACCACAGAAAAAATCATTTTTTGCACTATTAAAAAATTGTTCTCTTTCTGTAATTATTCCTCACCAAGGACAGTCAACTTTTACCAAAACTCGATGATGCGTTGATAGAAACTGACAATGAATTTACGGCATGCATTTTCAATTTTCAAGCGAAAGTTACTCAAATACTGAGAATAAGAATTCCTGTAGAATAAAATGGTAACTCGAAGCTCAAGTTAACGAAAGATTATCTAAACAAGTTTGGCATGATGTTCCTCTGCTTTGCAAGCATGAAACATATAGGCTATTTAATTCATGCTCAACACCATCATACAAGCTAGGCTCCGATACATCGCGCACAAGCGTGTAATCTTCGCGCGTTCTGCATTTTCACTATGCACATCTCCACGCACTAATGATTTTCAGTTTCTCATTTTCATAATTTACTCCTGCGCTATAGTCATACAAACTACAGCAAACTACGCGGCGATATTGATGCAATCTGATAAGCGCACGGAGAGTTCAACGAACGACACTCGAAAAACCTCGTTTTGTCGTACGTTATCCTTGACACTGAACACGCGCGCGCACAAAACGACATTCTCTTCCGCATTGGAAGGCAAAACGCAAAAGAAAAAAACAACAAGCTCGCGGAATTCAATAGATCACGAGGCCACGGCGAAAGATAAAAAAAAATAAAAAGCAAACTGCAATTCTCCCACGGAACGAGCAAACGCAAAAATCGGCCCCGCGTCCCATTGACCAACAAGTAAGAGAATGAATCGTGAAAGTAAGTAACCACCGCGAATATGCGCGCGTATAATGCACCCTCGCTCGCTGCGAAAAATTCCGGGTCAAACGTTAAGCGTCCTCGAAACGAACAGGTCCTTACGGTGTTCCGCACCGCGGAGATTGAGAGTAACCTACAAACGGATATGCGTCCCGACTGGTTTTCGTTTGTGCTCTGCCGTATGTAATCCCTCGCCACTTTGACATACAACGAAAGTGAATCATTCTGTCATACTTACCTGCTCTTTTTTTTTTTCTTGTTTCCCTCCTTAACCCGTATATTCTCGAACACAAATAGAAGAGCACGGTTCATTTTTTTTTTCAACAAAACGATGGTTTTAGTCATGTTGTTACTGAAATTGTAGGACATATCGTGAAATTTAATGACTGAATCTCGACTAAATAGATCGGGCAAATGGTTAAACATGAAATTCATGGTGTTTTAGTAATAAGGCATAAAACTAATGAGCGATCGTAAAATTCACAAGGAAGTTTGAGACATAAAGGGAAGTTAAGTGACAACAGCAAGTGGATTCGATCTCATACTAACTGAGGGAGAAAATCGCACGTGTGCAATAATACAAGATGAGCATGTTGCGTACATGTAAATATGAGAATTAATGTGAACGGTTTCGTGCGCACAGGCCCCCTGGAGACGCATGGAGTCGGTTGGCGACCATGGTCAATCTGTTGGACAAATTGGAGTACTCGCAGGATCTGCTGATCGACTCCAAGGATGCTGCGGCGCGCGAAGATGGTGAGTGCCTTCAAGTATACTTCCGCCTGCTATCTATAAATTGTTCATACCGCGGGCGCGCAAAAATTTCATAGGCACAACGGAGGGCTGACGTGAGTGCGCGCCAACGCGCTCGATATTATTATTATGCTAATCTGTCAATCTCGCAACCACCGTGTTTCATCGAGACAAATTGCCGATGACTTTTTTCTTACCTTCGGAATAATGATTTTTTATGGCGCGAACGCTTAACCGCAGTGTTTTCCGGCCGACCATGTGCTGCGACGTTGACTTCGGCGTATTTTTAACTATAACGCGTCGCGTTTTTTTTTTTTTTCTTCGTGGAATAATAAGCGGTGTCGATCTCGAGGTGTCGATAAAGAAAGTGAAATGATGTATATGGAAATATCTGTAGCCACCTTTTTGCGGGACTTTACCTTTTCTGCATCGTGTCCAATACAAACCGTTACGCATTTAATTAACACGATCGAAGCATACGTACCTCAATAATTACTCGGCAGACATTTTTTTTCTCTTGCCTCCATGGCATTCCACATAACTCATTGCTCTCGTTTCTTCTCTTGCATTCCTAGCGATCGATCGCACTCTAATCACTGTAATCGTATGAAAGAGAGTCGTCCTTGCACTCTGCATTGATCAATCATCCTGTATGATCTCATCACGCTGCTGAATTAACTTGCTATAGTTCAGAGCCTGACCTTCAGTGCGAAAGATATGCAAAGTTATACCGAAGGGCCCAATGCCTTATTAATGACGTCTTACTTTGGCTTCTTCTCATCGTGATCACCTCTTGATTTTACCGAGATACGAGGGGGAGATCCTCGATGAGGAGGTTGCAAGTTGATTAATTGCCGCGAAGTTTTTCAGTCCTTTATGAATTTTAATCGGTAAATTCGTTTTTTTTTTTGTTCGACGAGGCAATTACGCTGCTTCATTTCGCGCGTTTATAGGAAAATATAAGCCGAGGAAGTTTATTGAGAATCAACGTCACATTATGACCTCTAAATCTTGAATTAATGTTGATCCTTTTCCGTAGCCTAGTCGACTGTTAAAAACACATTTTTCAATGCATCGTAACGGTAAACACTTGACAAATTCGAATTTATTTTTTGCCACTGCATGAAATACTAAGCTAAGTAAAAAAGAAATTTACATGGGTTATAGATCATTCCTCGAGTAATTGCCAGAATAAATAGAAAAAAATGTACGTCCTATACCGTTGTACATCCATCGATAAATGGTTCACATGGGAGCGAGTACTTTATCAATGATTTGCTCGTACAAATATTTACCCACGCTGCGAGTATGTGACACACCTGTCATACATAAAGCTGCTGCAGCAGAAGCGGCAGCAAGCGAGTAGTGACCTAAGGCTATGATTTCTAACGGGTTTTGGTACAAGAGTCGCCGAGGCTCTCCTTTGTCGTTGCGAATAGAAGAGCCAAATTCCTCTCTCTGGTCTTTTCCATCAGCATAAAGCTTGTTGCCGTGACTGTACGCATAACGACGTCGTAACCTCGCAAACGGTTTGTTCCCGTGTACTAGATGCCGACTCGCACGATTGTTTTTTTCCATTTTTTTCTTTGTCTTTTTTTCATAGAAAAGGCGAACGGGACGATCGTCGTCGTTGTTGATTCAGGTGATCTTTAATTTTTCTCATTGTTTCACGCTTATTTACTGCTTTATTCAACTTAACATTGGATTCATTGATTAATAAATCAACTTCAAAATTTCGATCGATCGTTTGATTTTCATGAACGATCGCTGTTGTATTCGACAAGTTACTTCGCATGGCATACGTGCCATTATTTCCGCATTTCAATCTCGGAAATGCACTCGTCTCGAAAATTAGATGTAGTTTTCAAACGACATACAATCAGTCGGATTGTAAAGCGTTCCTTCAGGTTATTGGTGAGAACAATTGAGGTAAAGTACATTCAAGCAAACGATAATATCTATGCGCATTCGCAAAAAGCTAAAATATCACTCGAGCGAGAACTCTGAAAAAAAAACAATAGAATCCAATACTTTCAGGAATCTCAAATCTCCACTGAAATCCGAGACCGAATATAAATCAAGGAGAGGCCCGAAAGTTGAAATGAAATCTCTTCTCTCTGGTTCGCTCGTAAAAAGCATTTTCATTCGCGAGCACACGCGAGAAAAGACAGCGAGCTTTTCGCATTCGCGCGCAATCACTCTATACTTGCCAAACGTCCGCCCGCGTATACTTGCTCTCGTCGCACTAACCTCGGCGCTGATTCGCGTTAGACGCCAATTATTAGGTGGAGTCAGCGAATTGGCAGCGATAACGGGACACGGGTAGAAAAAAAAAGAAAAATCTGTTTCTTATCGTCGTATCTGGGACGAAATTTCCTTTGATTTACGCGAAAGGAGAGAACAATGATAAAGTTGAAATTACAAATAGAACCAAGGAAAAAGACGGGAATTGTAAAGTTCTTGAAGGCTTTGATGTGTACCGTTAGGTCAATTTCGATGAATTGACGCCGCGCAATCCATATGCGCGTCAATAGGGTTATCGAAGTGAGAGAGACAATGGTCAATGTAATTCCTTGGACGATTCCGCTATTGCACTTGACATCGGCAAAAGTAGCACCCTGAACGTTAAGTGTGTCGCTATCCATGATTTCCTGGTACATTCTGTACATAAGATTATTCAAACGAGACATACCGAAGTTCTCTGTAATGACGCGATCGCCCAGCTATTTTTGGTAATGAGGCAGCCTGCCGACGGACCTCTCGTTCCTTTTTACGAATCGATCACGAATTAAAAAGAAATGAAGTAAAAAAGTGGACATTCCATCGTGAAACAAGGCTCGCAAAAAGTGCAGGCTGGCGTACGGCGCCGCTTAATTATCTGCGAGGATGATTCTGTAAAGCGCGAGCGAGGAGGATGGCGCGAGGCAGCAAATGAACGGGTGTATAGATACGTTGTCGCATCTCTCTTTCTCGGGCGCGCTCCCGTCGCTTCGGCGACATTTGCATGATAACAGCCTGTCCCTCTGTCGAGCTCGTCACTTTCGAGGAGCTTGGCTTCTCCCTCGATCGCGCGATACACGCCCTGTTCTTCGTAAATTCTGATATCCGTTCTCGCTTTAATGCGACAAGTAAATGTATAGCGCGCATACGTAACTTGGCGTAGATTGCAGGCTATACATGTCACATTGCATGTCACCACCTGCAATTCGCCAAGTTCTTTCCTTCCAGTTAATAGCCACGATTAATGAATAAAGATGTAGCATCTATCTAATATTCCATTTACATTGCTTTCTACGTACACGATCGGAATCGCCAATTTATTTCAATTTAACGCTACGAAATTATCCGCCAATTATAGTCTGGTTATTTACGCGTCTCCGCGATAACTGATCTTTCCGAACCTCGCGAGAAGATGTTGCATTCTACCTGTTGATTCGTTCCCATCGGTAAAGTCGGATCTTTGTTTCCGCTGTTCATATCGACATCTCGTTAGGGCTTGAAAAACGGCAAAACGTATTTTGTTGCTTGATTTTATGTCTTTAGTAGCTCACAGATCATCGGTTCTTGATTGCAGAAGCAGCAGAGTCGCGTATCCCATTTTGTTTTCTCGGAACAGTTGCTTCAGTCGCTTCGTAATCAGCCGCCTAAGAAATCGCGCCACGGCAGAAATTATTAATAGCCGCGTCCTTTCTTTATTTATAATGCGCGCGTGTGTTCGTTCATTGCAGAGCTGAAGCTGGTGAGGCTGCCGGAGGACACGACGCTATCCGGATTCACGCCACTCATGTCAAATCCACAGGATCCGTTCTACGCCGACAAAAAGGAAGACATAGTAAGTTACACATTCAGCGCAGTTTCTTCGGATGTTTGTAATGAGGTGCTTTAAGGCGCGGATAAACATACGTGCGTTATCCTTTGCAGGCCGCGCTATTATATATGGGTTTTAATATTAAATCGAGAGAACCAGTGTGTACACTATAAATAGATCCGTACGCACATTTGTCCTGGCGTACCGGCGCAAAATCATTTTCCGCAATTATAGACAGGCCCTTCGAGGCTCCTCTACTGCTTTGCTGCTTTTATGCGCTGACAGCAATTAGACTTAATTATTTTTTGTGCTTACGTACCTTCAATGTTTTGCGGTTTAAATTATATTTAATGTTTGTAGATCTGTTTCACATATTTAACGTGTCATTATGGGATCTCGGTTAAACTGATCGCGCATCATTTTCTCTCTCTCTCTCTCTTAAGTCTTGAAATACATTACGCTAATTCATATACAACTCGGCAGCACAGTTACTAAGGCATCTACATCGTTCCTTCATTTTTTTTTATTGTTTCCGATTAGTTTTTCATCCTTATGAACTGAAGGAAACGATTACACCAAATAATTGGTATAATTCAACGTTTACTGTTATACATTGATTCTAATTACTTTCATTTCTACGAACATGTGTCCGTAAGTTGGTTTTTTCGAAGCGAAAATGCACCGTTGAACGATCAGTGTTGATCTTGATCACGCGAAGAACTGCGCGGCTACTTGTCGAAATACAAACATCAATTAATCGACGGACATTGTGCAACCGCGCAATAAATGCTTGATCTGCTTTTAAAAACAGGAAGTGGTGCAGGTTTGCCTGAGGATATACAAGATTCTGTTCTTCGGGCAAGTGTTCCTCTGCGGCCTGGAGACTCCAGTGCTCAAGTTGCAGAAAAGCGAGACGGGCGTCAGTGAATACGTATCGGTCGTCGAGGCTTCGGGTCCAGGCTCGCCGAGCTCGCCGCCAGAACAGGTAAGTCCTCGATCGTCGCTCTTTGCCGATTTGCCAGCTTTCAGCCCCGGAGAGAGCCGCGCGTCGAGCGGTCTCGTTGGCATCTTCGGGCGCGATCGCGCTAATCCAGGTGATTCGCGACGGCAGCGCTTGACTCGTCGCTCGTGCATCGTTGTCATTGGAAATCTCGAGTGAAATTGGACGAGGAGCGAGCGGCAAACGTTTAGTCGAGCAGGGCTCGCACTCGCTCGCGCAGATACGATCGCGCGGCGAGGGGTTTATTTCGTTCTAGGGAGCACATAGCATTACGCCGCGGATAAGATTGGCATCTCTCGATAAGCTTCCCCTCAGCGCGGCAATAAAGAGCATATCTATCTGCGCAATATTGAAAACGACGTTTATTGTGCGACAGAGCGACTCGGAGCTGATGGTGGAGAGCTACAGCGAGGACGAGGAGGAGGCCGAGTCGTCGTTAACCTCGCCCAGGCTATCGCTCGGAGATACGGGTTACGACAGCGTAACGTCTTCGACGACAGCGGCGGCGGCGGCCGGTGGCGAGATCAGATTGCTCATCGAACGCAAGGAGGAGCTGGAGAAACGACAGAGGAAGCAGGATAGGCATCGGCAACGAGTCCAGGTACGCTCGTCTATTCGTACGATAAATTTGCCGCTCGACCGAAAATCCCCGGCGACTTTTAATTCGCCTGCGCTGATAAATACAACGCGCAGTCTGGCGCCGAAGAAAAATCCCCGATAACGGACGGTTACGGGAATGTTACCGAGAGAGAGAGAGAGAGAGAGAGAGAGAGAGAGAGGTCTTCGACCTTTTACACCCTGCCTCTCTTGGCGAGCGTAAGCTCAGATTTGTCGGGGACGAGAGCTTTTTACCGGATAGTCTATCCAACTGCTGCACCGGATTGATCTTGATACGTTGTCTCTCTTTCTCTCTCTGAACGTCACGTAAGCTTGAAAAAACGGCTATATCCCAGCCGCCAGATGAAGGGGTAAAGACATAATGCTCTTTTTCAACGGGTCTATTATTTCTCTTTTCGTTACGTTGTCGTCGTCTGAAAAATCAGCTTCTCGGGTTTAGTTGGGCAAAAATTTGCCCGTAAAAATTACAGAGATGGTCGGGATAAAAACTACAGTGACAGTGCCGTAACACTTTCAGGACCATCATCGTAACATTTCCGTGTAACTGTTTAGTTTCACGTGCACTTGTAATTTTTCGACAAACGCATCATCATAAGCTTTGTCTAATTAAATTACTTTTTTTCTTACTATAGTAATGATTCACACTAGAAGGTTTAATTGCAAAGAAAAATTTATTGAGCTACAAATCATTCAAAGAAATAAATTTTAAAGGATAGTGTTATTAAATTCATCGCTTGCTCAAAAGAGTTTTATATTCTTGGAATCCCTTGCAAAAATATAAAAATTGTGACGTATAATTATATAAGTTTGGAAAAATAATATTTCCTAGAGAATGTAGGAAAGAAACCTTCCTGCAACGAAAGTTGAGGGTAAAAGGTATGCGACCGTCACCATAAAATTTACAGTGATGACACGGTAAAAATTACGACGAATCTCCAGAATTTTAACGAGTTTTCTTTGCAAATTTTCAATGCTGTAAAAATTACGGACTCGTCATCGTAAAATTTGCCTAAGTTTCCTCGTAAAAATTAACTGCACAGTCGCCACGTTCCTGCAATACCGGTCTGTCACCTTAATTTTTCCGGTGAACTGTTTCTCCGCGTAACGATGAAAAATTACACAGGCGCGTGGTCGGCTCTCAACTACGACAGACAAAATGCTCTAGGTGTTTTTCAATGAGAGATCAATAAGTTATATAATTTTAATCGACGATTGTCATTAGAAGGCAAAACACGTTATTTTTGCGTGTCATTGATCACAAAAAAGGCTGAAGAAGAGAGAAGGAGTTTTTAGCGCCTGGAGCGTCGGCCATGATAATGATTGGATCTCACGGCACGCACTCCAAGTGTAATGACACGTTTGCACGAGCGAGAGGTGGAGAAAAGTGGCGAAAAAGCTTGAGCAAGCGTGACTGTCGCGTCGTCGTGGCTGATATCGGCGCCACGTACTCGGCCGATATATCCTTGCCACCTCTGCCTGCGATGCTAAACTTAGCTCCGGTCTCGACAGTTGCTTTTCTATAAATAGAGATGTCACGCGACTCGCCTATCGCGATGCGCTCATCCGATACAGCCGACCTCCGTCACACCGACTCCGTACGCGTGTGTACTCCCGCAACTTGCTCTTGTTTCCATTATCTGCCTCTTCCTCCCCTGTCTCCGATGTTCTGCGCGCTTCACTTGCCGCGACAGCCCGTCATTGTTGCACGAATGCGAGGATTTTCGGATGCCTGAAAACAAAATCGCTGGTAGTAAGTGAAGCGATCGTTAATTAATGTTCGATCGGTACTTGCAACATCACGTACAATGAGCAGCCCGCATAGGTCGACACATTTCATCGTCCAAATAAAGCGCCGTTTCGATTGAAACTGTGAGTAATTGGAAAGTAACTCGGATCATTAACCATCCCGAGCGTAAAAGAGGTGGGGGGGGGGGGGGGGTCGAGGAGCCACGCAACGAGAGGATTGCAACTAAATCAAGAGATTACCTGTAGCGACTTGCGCAGCCCTCCTTCGAGCCGATCGCTATTCTCTCTCTATTTCGCTTTATCTCCTCTTTCACCGCCCTTTCTCTATCTCCATCTCATCTCTCGCATCGCATTGTGCGTTGCTCTTTTTTTCCCGCGATCGCAAACGGAGGAGGTGGAGAGTTGGACTGTAATTATTTATTGTTTCGTTGGAGTGCTTGGCTTAATCCGACCGGCGTCTAGATGCCAGGCCCACCGATGAGATTTATGAGCAATCAAGTATGTATTTAAGGAAGAGAGAAATTGATTTATCGAGGTGCCGCTCTTCTACTCCGCGGCCGATTCTTTTCGCGGACTACATGGCAAATCAATCCTTCGCCCGCTCCTTCTCTTCGTTATGGATCTATTTCTGTTTCGCCACTTCGTCGCCTTTCGTCGACGATGCGCAAGTCCAAACTCAAGTCCAGCCAAACAGATTTAAATCGATGCCGAGAATTCGCGATGCATTATCCGGCAGCCGAAATTTCAATTTTGAAAGCTCGCTAATAGCTTCCCGAAAGCTCGTGGCTCGCAATTAGCTTTCCTACGTGTCCTCCTCTATCGTGGAATTTATGCCTTTGCAGCCTGGAGGTGAACGAGGATAATTTGGTACCTTGGCTTTTCCCTCGCCATCCTTCCTCCGCCAATTCTTGCTAACACCTCGCGCCGCAATAAATTCGCGCACGCAGGCGAGTTACGAGTTAGCAACAGCTTTTCTGCGGCGATTCCCCCTCTCGCCTTATCGATCCTCGTTATCGCGTTAAATGCATTTCGGGGAATTGCCTTTTGTTCTCTCCCAAGTGAAGTTTTATGCCCTCGCCTAGTGTTTGCTCGACAAGTGAACTTTTGACAAGTCCGCAGCGCCGATAGTCGCGCGACGAAGGAGGAAGTCGTTCGCGCTCGCTTTGTGTGGTCAGTGTATGCTGATAGGCAAAAACATGAAGATTAGTGGTTGACCTCTCCTTCTCTCTGCAATATTTCCTCGGAGGGGTAGTCTTTCATTTGGTTCTTCGAAACGAACGGCAGTCTGGCGGTTTTGTCAGCGAAGATTTTACTCATAAACGCTCGCACTCGCGTGTTGCGAGTTTCTCAGCGGACAAATTCTATCAGAAAAGCGACGATTAATCCTCGCGCCAATTGAAATTTCGTGGTGTGCGCGGCGAATTCAGTACGATTGCACAGCATGGTGCTGAGAGGTCAGCGTACTATAGCGTTGCGTACACACGCACACAACAGATTTTTCGCAATGTAAGCATTTGTTCAAACAGTAGAGTCATCATTAAATGTTAGAATATATGCTACATCATCGTGAAATTAATTTGCCCGTTCACTTGTATCGGCCGAAAGTGCGCAAAATGAAATAACCGCGGGACAAAGTCATTCGGCGATAAAACGCAGTTATATCACGTCGGCAGGCGGCGCGCTCGGGTTTGCTGTATGGAGGTCAAGAAAAGAAAAAGCAAAGCAGTCGCACGCGCGACAGATGGAGTGGTCGCCGGCGAACGCGTTTGTAGGCGTCGTGCCATTTTTGAGAGCGAGTTCTCTTCGGCGCGCATAGTCATCGTGATCGGCTCGCTCGCACGCGCAATTCGCACGTTTAGGCATGCATGTGTGCCGAGGAAAAACGCGAGCGAGCGCGCATGCTAAAGATCGCTATCGGGGTAATCGCCTGCTGATCCTGCAGTTGTTGAATTTTAATGGGGGGGGGGGGGGCACCGCCGTCGTCGTCGTCGTCGTCGTCGTCGTCGTCGTGCCTATACTTTTGTGCAAGTGTCATGCGCCAGCCGCCGACAATTTATGCGCTCGATGATGAGCGGTTCTTCCAGTGCTTCTTGTTGCTCTCCTTTGCACTCCTCTGCTGATTAATTATCCAGCGTTGATTCTTCTTTTTTTCACGCTGTTAACTGCGAGAACACGATGGGGTCGATGAAGCTTTATGGGCATCCTTTATAATGACAAATAAACAATGTACCAATTTGAAAATCGAAGCCCATTTTATTAACAGCCGCTTACTTTCGAACTATTAAGCTTGCTGCTGATTTATCTCTCGTGAAATCGTGACATACTCTCGTCAGAATAATGCTGGACACTGGAAATTACCTTGGCAACGAAAACTTTTCGATGCTTTCTCTCTCTCTCACTACCGCTTTTTCGTGTCGCCTATTACCTCCCCTCTCGCAACACCATGCCTGAATCATAGTTATTTATTAAATTACTCGTCTCTGGCAGCTTATCGTCCGCGCTCGTCACATGTGGAGCGATGAGAAAAAAAATTGCTCACTCTGCGCGGGAACAAATAGAATTTGCACGCATGCCTGTTATTGACATTGCGCGGTCATAGATGATGTTCTTTTTGTTTTCAGCCAGGTCCGCCTTAACGGTACGGTATTCGTAAACACTGCAACAATGCAACAGCTTTCAATGCATCTTGTTTTTTTTTTCCAGTCGTACGTACCGTTAGGCTCGAATGCTGTTGCAAAATTCACGGCTAATAAGTGATCAAACTCTTGTAGTTCCCTGAGATTTGCGCGGTTTTGGCTTGCAGTCGACCTCGACTGCGATTGTTGAATTACCCGAATGTCAGGCGTCATTTTCTTTTTCTCAAGCACGTTTCTTCGTTCAGCGAACGTTCCGCCGTTAACCAATTACGTACAAATCGCAGAGCAATCGACTTTCATTTATTTAATTATTCATTTTTCGAGATCCATTATCTAGCAAGCCCGCAAGGAGACGTTCAAATTCGTAAGTACAAACGCGACGAGAGAAAAAGCTGAGAGGATCGGGCGCTACAGGCGGAGACAAGCTAATTAAGCCAAATTAATTATCTTATTCGTTGGTGCGAATTTGCAGGGCGCTACTGCGGCTGACCATTCACGTCATGAGAGATGACTCTGCAGCTGACAGACCACACGGCAGTCAGACTAAGACGTGCCTCGGCAATGCCGGGCGTGAACATAGCGCGATCCTTTGTGCGAAATA